AAAAGGGGCGGGGCTGCTTGATATGTCCCACCCTGTCTTCCTGTTTCAGTTAAAATTACGTCAACACATAGAGTAAAGCTGTGTGTTTCTAAGCATTTCAGGGGACCTTTAAATCCCCCAAAAAAGAACTATTTACCACCCTGGGTTATCTGTCTTTTACATCAGTGTATTCACATTTTTAAAAACTCAGAACATTCTCAGATTAATTCTGACTAATTATATAAATTGGATTAATTAATTTGGAACGGAGTAGTAAGGGTGGATGCAGGGGCGATTCCAGGATTTTCATTTTAGGGAACCGATTGCTCCCCCATGATATTTTGTAAACTGTATTTATGACAAAGAACTGCACAGATGCAGATATTATAACAATCTAGATAAACACACACCTTGTCCTCTGTTTCTCGCTCTTCGCCGCCGCGGTCTGCGGATTGATAAAGAACTCACTGAAAGAGTCTGCCGCCGTTTTCATATGAAATTTAAAGGGGACTGAGGCGATCACGAATTCGTGTACAGTTTATGGAACTAATAGCAAAATTTTAGGGGGGCTGAGTAGTCATTTTAGGGGGGCTATAGCCCCCCAAAAATGGCCTAGCGACGCCCATGGGTGGATGACAGCAGCTATCTGGCGCCCCCTGTCCGCTTATTGAGTCATCCCTATCGTCTCAACCCCATGCCACACAAACCTCCAAAACGAACTGAGAGAAAAAGAGAGCCGACTCACATCAAAGAATCTTCCGGCCTGGCCCTGGATGAGCTGACTGGAGTCAGGTTTGTTTTTGCAGTAGGTGACGTACATATGGAATTTATCAGCCTTCAGTACATGGAAAAAATAAACACATTCACTATTTATCATGTAGGTAACCTCACCAGAGAACCAGAGTACCAGAAGCTACTGCTTAAACATTAATACTTCACAGCTGAATTTATATTTTGGACCTTTCAAGTTTTAAATAATGATTAAGAAAATACAGCGTGGGCAAATTTCCTATTTTACAGCCTCTGAGCACACACAGGATTTTAAATATTCATACGGAGTAAAATGATGGTGACTAGTCCATACTGAAATCACAATGTTCTCCAAACAAAGAAACATTTGAGGAAAAAGACGATGATTCATCTGTATCTCACCCATGTGACAAAACAATGGCCCACATCTTCTGGAAGCTGCTCATAGTTTTCCAGCTCTTTCAGAAAAATGCTGCAAAAACAAACAATGGCAAAACATAACTAGATTTGAACACTTTCTGAAGAAAATATGAGGCTGTTGTTGCTGCTAATGACTAATATTTGAGCATTTTGAGTATATCAGCATGAACATTGACAGCATTTCAGGCAAAGTACAGTATGCAACTATGCAACCTTGGATGAATCTTGCAATCAAAAGCCATGACTGTCTGAGATCAGTAAGAAAATCTCTAAAGCTTCTCTTTGACAGAGGAAACACTCTCACCTCCAAACACTCCTGTAGGTCTCGTACATAAGCTCTTTCTGTCTGGAGCAGCTCAGCCATAATATACCTACAGAGACCAAAACGCCCCACTGAAAGCCCAGCAAATTACAGACATTGAAATGCAAAGAACGCCTGAGACAGCACTTCATAACACAAAGCTAATTCCTCAGGAAATGATTTAGATTAAAAAGGATTTCGTGTGAAGACGAAGCTATTGATGCTGTGATTTAGTTTGGGACTATCGGCTTAACCTGCGCACAGGAAGCTGGCACACATTATGAGGATTCTGAGTCATATTTAAAATCTCTCATAGTCATGAAGTTAATTTCATCACTCACTCTTTTTTTCTGGCAGATTTCTTCTTTTCCTCATTAACCTCATGGTCGGGATCGTTGAGGTTGACCTCTGGGTCAGTGTGGGTCAAGCTGGCTGGGATAATGTCCAGCTCTAGATCTTTATTGTCCTATTGGAGAAGTCAGAGGAAATACTAAAAATTTCAGTGTGTGTTTAAGCAAAAGGTTTGATTCCTCAGGATATAAACCTTTATATACAGTATTTTAGAGCCCGACTGATATGTTTTTTTTTGGGGCCCGATGCTGATACCGATATAAGGGAGTAAAAAAACACCGATATCGATATATCGGCCGATATTCTTTATGTGTAGGCTATATTACTTTTGGAAGGCCAAACAAAGTAGTTTCGCTTTCATAACGAAACACACAGCGCCTTCACGACATGGCGGCAGCAACAATACTACAGCGAGAATAAAAGTTACGCCTTCTTTCTTTGCGTGAACATTTGGGCGGCGTTATGCAAATCTTCCCACATCGTGACGTAGACATGTGGGGGCGTGTTAGAACAAGCCGTTTTAGGTAGGTGTGGTTGACTCTTAACTTTTATAAAGAATATCTCTTTGGATTTGAGAATTTGGTCTTTGCAACTTTACAGATCTTCTTTATGCACCAAGAGCTTGTAACACTCCAAAGAGAAAGGAAAAATTTTAATCTGCTTTATATGTTCTGTAAAAAAAAATATATCATATCGGCAGCATATTCGCCATATAATGATAATATCGGCAAAACGATATATCGGTCGGGCTCTATTTATAAATATAAAAGATTCATAAATATATTAAATAATGCATGAAATGAAGAATAAATGTAGGATGTATTTCCTAAAAAGGGATGGCTTTTCTCAGCCGCTCACCTCAGAACACACTCCTAGCGCTCGGTCCAAGCTGCAGCGGTACTGACCCATCTGCATAGAGAAGTCTCGGTACCTTCTGTCCACCGTAGAAACCCACCTCTTGAGCTCGGTTGTATGGACATGCCCTTTCTCAACCAGACTACCAGCCAGCTGGATCAACAGCTTCACCTTCTCCTGTGTTTGCTAGAAGAAGAGAACAACATCAGGTCATATAATACAGGTTTAGACAAATGCATGTTCACTTTATATACATAAATATATGTAAGTGAATAGATTCGTTTGTCTAAATTTGTACAAAGCTTACTGATAGACAGGTCACTTTTGAGACCTATACTTTTTCACTCTAGATGAAGGCTTAAAAGGCTTTTGGTTGTTTAGGTATGTTTACGGTAATTACGGTCATTTCTGAAGTTTTGACCAGGATATTCTTCATAATAATTCTGCTTGCATGTTCCACAAAAGCATGAAGGTTTAAAGTGCCCCTATTATGGATTTTTGAAAATTACCTTTCATGCAGTGTGTAACACAGCTCTAAGTGAATGAAAACATCCTGCAAAGTTTTAAATCTGAAAGTGCACCATGTATAAAGTTATTGTCTCTCAAAAGAAAGAGTCGACTCTGAATCACTGAAACAAGTCGTTTTTAAAAACGAATCCCAAGCCGTTTCATGTTGACATCAACATGAAACATTAGCATATTAACCGCCCACTTGTTGGTCTTTTCGTGTTGGTCTGAATGATAATGCAAATTCATTCTTTGCCACTAGATGCTGCTTCTGGAGCAGTAAAATAGCGGCTTCCCCGGTAATGGTTGTACACAAAGCAGCACTAAACACTGCTTTATCAGGCATTACAGGCATGATGAAATGAAAATGAGACCAATCGGACCAATCACCGCAGATTAGCGTCACGCAAAGGAGGGGTTTGGAAAAATTAATCCTTGAGCGAATCGTTTGGGAGTCGTTGAGCATGTAAGGTAAAAATAAATGCAAATTATAAGACAATTAAAGTGTTTTTTTGACCTTGCATGCATGTCAACCTGTTGTTGGGGACTCCCAAAACCAAAATATGAACCTTTCATAACCCATAATAGGGGCACTTTAAGACAACATGACAGTGAATATATGATGACAAAATTTTTAATAACTGCCCTCAATGACTGAGGTTGTTACCTTTGCGGATACACGGAAATCTTCATACTCTTTTAGTAGTTCCTGAGTTTTTTCACTGGTATCACCAAGTGATGTGTGTGTGGATAGAAAATATTCTCCTGTCTCCTGTAACCAGTCTATGGCCTGTGTAGAGAGAACAGTTTTAAAAATGTAAAAACCATTTCATGTGTTTATTTACAATCTCATTATTGGATATTTTCTACTGCACAAATAGCTGACTAATTGGTTAAATATAAAAGGTTGCTGGGTTGAAAAAAATAAGTGCACTTAATTATACTGAATGTGCAGTTTTAGTGTATTTCAAATCTTACAAGTATATTTGCATTAAATAAAAGGCAACTCAACTGCACTTAAAGAGTACACTTTCCTGACAATGTTTCTACACATGAAAAAGTGCAATTTGTGAAGTCAAATTAAAAGTTTTACATTAAAGTACATTTTAAATCATTATGAAGTACTTTAAAGAAGTACATTTATTTGACTAACATACTAAAGCACATAATAATCATTTTACAATTTTGTAATAAATTGCAATGTCATCATTACAAATGTGTAATTACCAATATATTTAAATACATGACATAAAAGTTTCAATAGAAATGACAATAAATATTTTAGTTTACCATAAATGTTTCTCAATACATTTAGCAGTACACTTTACCCTTTTTAAAAAACAATAGAAGTAATTACATATAAAGATATAATTAAGTCCTAATAAGAGGGTCAAAAAATAACTTTTGTTTTTAATTTAAACTATAATAAATTTTAATTTAATTGCAATTAACATGCAGTTACGTGTCAGAAAACATAACATTCAGTTCACACTTAAGTATGTTCTTTTAAAGTATATTATTTCTGTAATAAGTTCTTTTTTTAAATGTATTCTAAAGTGTAGCTCATTTTCACAAGGGAAGGCAAAACCAAACCAAACCACCATCATTATCGAATCCTTCAAAAACTGTGCTTGCATAACGCTCTCTCACTCACCTGTTTGGCATGTCGTTCAAACAGAACGTACTGTTGGCATTGATCTAAACGTCTTTTTTTCATAGTCCAGAAATGAAGAACACGATTTTCCCTCTGTAGCAGCTCACTCAGAATGGCTATACATAAGGAGAAACAAGACAAGATCAATAAACAATTACAAAACATTCAGGCACAATCACATACAGAAAGACTGTATATTTTGCAGGTATAATGGCTTTAAGCAGTCCTGAACTGACCTTTGACTTGGGACTCAGTGGCTCGATTGTGGGTAGCGACCCCAGGCATGCTCACATTGTTTCGATGGATGTATTTAAGAAAGACCTCCGCATTACGACGTGCTAAAGTACATGCCTGGAACCAGAGAAATTAAACATTTTGTAGAATCAGTGCATCTAAACAACTGTACAGTGAAATCATCATTGACCATATTGATAGCAGCTGGAGTTTTAGGAGTGCTGATGTAAGATGGTCAGTGACATTGATAGACACACTAATAATTTTGTTAAAGGTTTCTTTATTTCAAAAGGATTTTTTTCTATGTGATGACCCATTTATTCTGACACATATGTGGTCACATATGGCAGTTTTTTTTGTTTTGCTGTAGATGCATTTTTTTTTTTAATATAAAAAGGACAAATTGGTGAGAGAGCTGTTGCAGGTGTTTGAGTCTGTGTGTGTGTTTATGTATGTGTGTGTGAGAGCAAGGTGTACCTTGAGAAAGGCTTCTTTCTGCTCCAGGTGTTTGTTGATGAGAGGGCTGACGTGGTCAGTCTCTGCCGTTGAGCCCAATTTATCATTACCCCCGCACCAGTCCTCCTCTCTCCTGTACTCCAGTTCCAAACTCTCCAATACATTACATACCTGCGACAGACGTACAGTACGTTACACACACAGCAGCATCACAAAGCTTAAGTCTCTGTACTGTTTACAATGGTCACAGATACACTGGCAACATATAATAGATATACAATGTAATGACAGTAAAAGGACATGTATAAAATTTCTGCCATTAGATCAAAAAAAATTGAAACAATATTTATTCCAGAATTCATTACAAAAATATCTGATAACAGAGTGCATTTTCGGTAGATTCTGGAACTGACACTAGGGGGAGCTAACATTTCTGTTAAGGGACAAGAAGGCTTGGTTACTGTCCCATAATTAGATTTTAAAAAAATTAAAAATTAAAAAATTAATACTTTCATTTAGCAAGGATGCATTACATTGATCAAAATTGACAGTAGAAAGTTTCAGATTTTTACCAAAAATATATTTCAAATAAATGCTGTTCTTTTGAACTTCCTATTCATCAGAATCCTGGAAAAAAATATATCACAGTTTCCACAAAAATATTAAGCAGCATAACCATTTTTAACATTGATAATAAGAAGAAATGCTACTTCAGCACCAAATTAGCTTATTAAATTGTACCAATATATTACTGTTCTTACTGTATTTTTGATCAAATTAATGCAGCCTTGGTGAGCATAAGAGACTTCTTTCTAAAACATTTTTAAAAAATCTTACTAACCTTAAACTTTTGAACGGTAGTGTATAAAATATTCAGCTTTTCTTGCACTTAAAATTTTACTCAAAGTTATGGTTATATAATGTGACTGAAAGGTGAAATACAAAGTTCTGGCATGAAACTCTAGATGGCGCATTCCAATAGATCTAACTCAATATGACATAAAGACATCAATATCACATGGCACAGCTGATTGGTTCTCTCCTGTATCAGTAGCCAATGAGCTCGCTGCTCAACATTCAAATATTTGGCTAATGCTTATGATAACAGTTGCAGCACACTTCAGAAACCCTTCACCTTCCCCAGCTCCACTTGTATAGATCTGCTACAGGGTGATCATGTATGCTATGGGGGTTATTTATGTTATATGTGCAGCAGTAGTATTTCTTACATGCTCACAGCAGCATGTTGTGGATGTATTGGCAGTTGCAAGTCTTGGTACTTGCTCTGCCACAGCAGCAGCAGCAGCGTAGCAGATCTATTCCGCTAAGACCAAATACATGAACATTGTCATGTACCTTACCATGACAATCCCTCCGAAAGTTGTCATGACAGAACTCTATGTACACTGCAAAAGGGTCTTGAAACCCCCCTTTTAAAAAAATGAACTACTTAAAAACAGGGCATCTTAAAAATGCAGTGCTCATGGCGTGAGGCACTGAAAAAAAAAAAACATAATATGAACTGCAAATGCATATGTCCAAGTGGTTTAGAACTACTGCTATAAATCAAATTCGCAACTCTGTCATCATTTCACATTCTCAACCACAATCACAGCCACTAGTATTTGTGGGCAGTGACAGTAACCATCACATAGTCTATTACAACTCACCTGTTCAGATGTTTTGTAGAAGGCCACAGAGGCATTAACCAGCTTTAATTTGTCCTCCATCTTCAGCATGAGGGTCTGCCAGTGCAGGGCCACGGTCTCAGCGCAGGCCCGGACAGCGTCTGGGTCATAGTGACCCGCCTGCAACATCAACTCCGCCCTCTGCTGGAGCTGCAGGGCACTCTGGTGGGTGCGCTGCAGGGAGTCGGCATGGAGAAGAGACTGGACAGCAGAGAAAAGTGGCTCGTTTTAATTCTTAAGGTGTGCTAAAATTAAGTTTGTTAACTGCCAGTACACAAGGACCACATGAGAGGCGGGTAAGGTCACGGAGGGGCTCCTTAGAGGAGCAATTAAAACATGATCAGTTAGACGTCCTGCCGTTCAAGGCCAAAACAATCAGCGGTGAAGCACAGCCTGATGCTTTCACAAGAGCATATGCTGGATGAATAAAACTAGTGGCCTGATTCACACATTTGTTTTGGAGTCACAAATATGAGAAAGTACTTGGATGGTCTGATTTGATGAAAAGTGGTACTTGGCCTGAAAAGTTAGAGAACCGCTGCCGTAGATGATTAAAACATATATTTGGCAGAAGGGAGATTTTGGCCGATACTCAGCATTCACTTCCTTTGATTTAGACAGCATTTAGAGATGCTGTCGTTAGTCGAGAATTATACGCAGCAATTTGCTGAATTAAAACTCAGTCCTCATTTCGGGCTTATGTGCTTCTTACTGCTCATAAATTTGCTGAGTAATTTATTATTTTTTTTAAATCAACTCAGCTGTTTTGTATTCCATCTCTTTGATGAATATAATAAAGGGAACTTTATAACCTATAGACCAATTTACCTTCTGTTTATGACAGATAACAACAAACATGTTTGTGGAAGTGAATCATGGCACGAACAAAGGAGATCTCTGAGAACCTCAGAAAAAGAGTTGTTGTTGCTCATCAGGCTGGAAAACGTTACAAAAAACGATCTCTAAAGAGTTTGGACTCAAATCCACAGTCAGACAGATTGTGTACAAATGGAGGAAATTCAAGACCATTGTTACCCTCCCCAGGAGCGGTCGACCAACAAAGATCACTCCAAAAGCAAGACCTGTAATAGTCCATGAGGTTGCAAAGGACCCCAGGGTAACTTCTAAGCAACTAAAGGCCTTTCTCACATTGGCTAATGTTAATGTTGAGTCCACCATCAAGAGAACACTGAACAACCATGGTGTGCATGGCAGAGTTGCAAGGATAAAGCCACTGCTTTTCAAAAAGAACATTGCTGCCTGTCTGAAGTTTGTTAAAGATCATGTGGACAAGCCAGAGGGCTACTGGAGAAAGGTTGAATGGATGGATGAGACAAAAATAGAATATTTTGGTTTAAATGAGAAGCGCTATGTTTGGAGAAAGGAAAACACTGCATTCCATTATAAGAACCTTTTCCCATCTGTGAAACATGGTGGTGGTAGTATCATGGTTTGAGCCTGTTTTGCTGCATCTGGGCCAGGACAGATTGTCATCATTGATGGAACAATGAATTCTGAATTATATCAGTCTGCTGGAGCTGCAGGGCACTCTGGTGGGTGCGCTGCAGGGAGTCGGCATGGAGAAGAGACTGGACAGCAGAGAAAAGTGGCTCGTTTTAATTCTTAAGGTGTGCTAAAATTAAGTTTGTTAACTGCCAGTACACAAGGACCACATGAGAGGCGGGTAAGGTCATGGAGGGGCTCCTTAAAGGAGCAATTAAGATACGATCAGTTAGACGTCCTGCCGTTCAAGGCCAAAACAATCAGTGGTGAAGCACAGCCTGATGCTTTCACAAGAGCACATGCTGGATGAATAAAACTAGCGGCCTGATTCACACATTTGTTTTGGCGTACTTGGATGGTCTGATTTGATGAAAAGTGGTACTTGGCCTGAAAAGTTAGAGAACCGCTGCTGTAAATGATTAAAACATATATTTGGCGGAAGGGAGATTTGGGCAGATACTCAGCGCTGACTTCCTTTGATTTAGAGAGGCTGTCGTTAGTCGAGAATTATACGCAGCAATTTGCTGAATTAAAACTCAGTCCTCATTTCAGGCTAATGTGCTTCTTACTGCTCATAAATGTGCTGAGTAATTGTTTTGTTTTTTAAAATCAACTCAGCTGTTTTGTATTCCATCTCTTTGATGAATATAATAAAGAGAGGCTTTATAACCTATAGACCAATTTACCTTCTGTTTATGACAGCTAACAACAAAACGGATGATGTTTCTCTAACATTCCACAAAATGTGTTTATTACCCCCCTCCCCCCTCCACAGGGTTAAATAAATGATCTGTTTGATATAAGCCAAAAATAATTTCCTAATTGCAGATAATGGTGTAAACAAGGTTTAATATTTAATATTAATCTTCATATTACAGCATAATGCAGCCTTATGAAGCTGCCTCCTGCAGAACCTATTAAGGAAAATGTGTGTATGTGTGTACCTCGATGGCAAGCTGAAATTGTTCATGCTCTCTCTGAAGTTGTTCCGCCTCAGATAGGGAACCTGCATTCGTTGTGCTCGCCGTGAGCATGGATTCACCGTTACGGATCCAACACAGCACCTGCACAGATCAACACATACAAATGCACACACACAGCGGCATGTGACAAAACAGGCTACAGAGGTGAAAAATGAAAGTCAATTAATTATTTTGGATTAATCTGTCAACATTCAGAGGTATTCATTTATGTTTTGGTGCAGCCTCCTGCTTTTTCCATTTTCGGACAAAATTTGAGAAATGTGAGTTTTCCTTGGTGTAACTCAATGTCTCAACACTGTCAGTTACAGAAATAATGTGCCATGTCAAATAATTAATAATTCCAAATCTAGCATTCAACTATAAATTTAGACTGTATGATGGTTCCAAACTGATTTTCAGCTCCATCTATTGAATTCTCATCACTGACACTGTTGACAAAAATTACAATAATGTTTTTATAAAAATATTATGTACATCGGCATATTAGAATCATTGTTTAAAGCTTCTGAGAATTCAGCTTTGCCATCACAGAAATAAATTACATTTTAAAATTAGTGCTGTCAAATGATTAATTGCGATTAATCGCATCCAAAATAAAAGTTTTTGTTTACATACTATTTGAGTGTTTACTGTGTATATTTATTATGTATATATAAATACAAACACATGCATGTATATATTTAAGAAAAATAGGCTGTTTAAATATTAAATATATTTATATATAATATACAATATAAATATATAAATGTATATACACATGTAAATATTTTCAAAATATATACTGAATGTGTGTATTTATATATACATAATAAATAAACACGTAAATGTAAACAAAAACGTTTATTTTGGACACGATTAATCGCGATTAATCGTTTGAAAGCACTATTTAAAATATATTAAAACAGCTTGCATAATAGTTCACAATATTATTGTTTTTATTGTATTTTTGATCAAATAAATGCAGCCTTGGTGAGCATAAGAGACATGTCTCAAAACCATAAAAAATTATTTCCAACCCCAAACATTTGAACAGTAGTTTGTCCAATATATAAGCATATTAACTACTGCCAGTTTTCCCTAATTTACAATAAATATTTATTCATGTTCTGGGTCATTAAATAAGATGAAATAATGCAGTTGTTTAATAAACATTCTAGTAATCATCTCTGCTTCATATTAAAGTGAAAATGTTGGCATTTTCAAAACTAATGGCAGGTAAAACTGTTCAACATTTCGTTCCACATCCTAAGAATCCGTAAACTGGGCATTAAGGATGCAGAAACATTAAAGCTGAGCTAAAGGGATTCCCCCTCCCACGTTATGTAACACCCTGCCTACATTTACATTAATTTTCTAAACAAACTCATGTACAAGAAACTACATATAGAAACAAGATACAATACAAATAATTAAAGAACTAAGATGAAGCTGAGAAGTCCCGAGGTGACGGCACTGCCAATAAGAAAGCAGTGGCGTCTATGAAATAGTGCAAGTGAACTGAGTGATTCATTTTTCTGAAATGCAGGGCTGCAGTCTGCACCCACGCACTGCTCTGGATATGAGTGACAGTGTGTGTGTGTGTGTGCTCAAAGTGTCAAAGATAAAAGCAATTAGCTGGGCACTTGTACTCAAGGCTAATGGCATCAGTCAGAATCTTGGATGGAAGCAGAGCACAAGCTTTTTTCCTGAATCCAAAAGTCAGGCGTTCCTCACAACATGTTGATGAGTGTAACTTAGGGGTCCCTAAATGTGACCATGAGCTGAGATGTAGCAACTGATTTTAAACACACACCTGTTTGACCTCGGCCTGCAGGTGTCGTAGCTGAAGGCACTGCTCCAGACGTTTGTGTGTGTGTTCTGCGCTCACTTCCAGCTCGTGCTGTTTTTCATTCAAGAACTCCAGCAGCTCTTGAACTTTTGCCGCCAAGTCAACATCTTTTTCTCCAGTGATTTCCATACCTGAAAAACATACAGATTTTTAAAAATAAATATCAGCAGCATATACACATTGACACATATACGCCGGTCTAAGTATATCATTTACATTTACATTTAGTCATTTAGCAGACGCTTTTATCCAAAGCGACTTACAAATGAGGACAAATATCAGTTTCACTGTATAGATAAAATGTCAATCTAAGAACCATATACAAACAAATGATGCCATTTTTATGAAATATCATGCTATACAAATGTTAGACAACCTGAAAGTGTCCAAATGCTGTTTGTCTTCTGCATGAACAGTATATAATCATTTAATTTTATCATAATCTACTTCAATCAACTTCTTTTCATGAAATGTTTTATTTGCAAAAGTGCTATACTTGTCCAATATTTCTTTTACAGACTGACAAAATATTTGTCCCAGGCGATTTAGTGATACTGGTACTAGATGCATATCAATCAGCACCATGTCCTAATTTCAGAGGTTAGCCCCATTTGTAAAATACTAATGAACAAACACATAAAATTAGGCATGCAATTTAAACGTGTTGTAATTTCTGTGCCACTAGTATTAGAAAATAAAATGACAAAGCAATTATAGATTTCAAACAGGTTTCCTGAACAACCCCTCTGTTGGCCATGTGTTAGTTAAACAGTCCCTTCCCAAACAAGTCATGACAGATCATTGGTTGAGCTGTCGGGACGCTCAACCAATCAATGTTTTCTGCCAAAGAGATGTAGTGTTTACACTGTTTTGGCAGAATAAGCCAACAAATAAATATATTTGAACTTGGCATACACTACCGCTCAAAAATGTGAAAAAATGAAGATTCATGTTTCATGTTTTGAAAGAAATGAGATGAGACGCCTACATTTGATCAAAAATGCAGTAATATTGAGAAATATTATTACAAATTGAAATAACTGTTTTCTATTTTAATATATTTCAAAATGTTGTTTATGCAAAGCTAAATTTTCAGCATCATTACTCCAGTCTTCAGTGTCACATGATCCTTCAGAAATCATTCTAATATGCTGATTAACTGCTCAAGTATTATGATTTATGGTTGGTGCTCAATTAATAATGGTTCTTGTTATTATCAATGTTAAAAATAATAACAGTTTTTGCTGTTTAATATTTTTATTGAAACCATTATACGTTTTTTTTTTCAGGAATCTTTGATGAATGTAAAAGTACAATGAATAGCATTTATTTGAAATATAAATCTTTTGTAATATTATAAAAGTCTTTACTGTCCCTTTTGATCAATTTCTTCAACTTCATCCTTGCTGAATAAAAGTATTATTTTCTTTCTTTCGTTTTTTTAAATCTTATTCTTAAACTTTTGGATGGTAGTGTTATCATGTTTTCCATAAAAATCTAATGGGTAAAAAAATATATAATTTATATTAATAAGAAATTGTATATATACATATAGAATGATTTCTGAGGGATCATATGACACTGAAGACTGGAGTAATGAGGCTTTGCTTCACAGGAATAAATTACATTTTAAAATATATTAAAAACAGTTATTTTACATTGTGATAATATTCCACAATCAAACTGTTTCTCCTCTAATCAAATAAATGCAGCCTTGGTCATCATGAGCGACTTCTTTCAGCTACATTAAAAAACTGAATTATTCCAAACTTTTGACCAGTAGTGTATAACTCTGTATGTCCAAAAGAATTACACATTTTACATTTAATGCTGGGTTCAGACTATACGATATTTTTGTCGGTCACTGTGTCAGATTACACGATTTTGACTCCTAAAATCTTGTTGTGGCGTGGACAAGAAACATGTCAGACTACACGTTGCTTCCCGACCATTCATCGCGTGCTGTCTTTAACGATGGCGTGATGACTTCCGAAAACAAGAGTGTAAACATTGCTGAAGCGCTTCCGCTATAGTTCGCCAGCATTTTTCTTTCTTTGTTCTGTCGTGGTAGTCCCTCGATGACACATCATACAGGCAGGAGTACTGTTGCCACAGCTCCACGAACCTTTCCTCTATCTCATAATTCCACCTAGCAGCACCATCATCACTCTTTCGTTTTGCCATATTTGAAACCTGTGTATGAAAGAGATTCTGTGCTGCTGTTGGTCAACGTCACCAATGTGACAGAACTCGTCGGACAACATGCTAGTCTTTCTGTTGTGATATCGTGAAGCATCGGAGACGCGGAATCGGTTGTCATCCACTATGACACACTACACGAGTTGAAACGATGGAATCTTGAGTCCCGACGCCCATTGTCGTTACGAATCCCCACGACACCCTACGTCAAGCAAATCGGGGCAAAATCGGGCTAAAATCGTGTAGTCTGAACCGGGCATAAC